ATCTGTTCTATAAGCTCCGTTGTTACAAACTTCACCAAGTACCTGTTCTATAAGCTCCGTTGTTACAAACTTCACCAAGTACCTGTTCTATAACCATAAAGTGACCTAAGGATGATCAACATTATACCTGAATTGTAACGCAGGAGCAACGTATCGATCCATAGTTTTTGTAAAGTGTTTGCGGCCAGTGGTTAGAATTTCGAACTGTGGAGCTGAGTAAAAACATATTACGCTCCATACTTTGGGTACGTCGCAAGAGTGACGGTCAAATCCCAGCATTCGGTCAGACAAGAGTTGGCAATGGGTGCTGTTCGGTAGCAGTCTCCCCTTCGGTTTATCAGTTCAAAATTGGGGACGGCTGTGTGCAGGTCGCCTTTTGTGCAAAATTGCGCGAAAAATCTGAAACAAACCAAGATATTCACTAGTAATTCGGTTAGGGTGGAATTTTTGTAGTGTAAAGACCTGTTTCTCGTTTTGGTCTAGGCGTAGGATTGTGTCGTATTGTGTTTGTTTAATTTCCTGTTCCAAACTGAACTCACTGGGGCCACGTAAAATAAAAATATTCTCAGGCAGAAACATTTTCAAAACCATCCTGTAACCAAGTTCTTATGTTATTTAACAGTTCTTTACGAAAGTCACTCGAGAAGGTAAGGCTTATTTACGGTAGACTCAAAGCGTGAAAACTGTCGGGTAGAATAATTGAGTCACGTGCCGATCGGTGAGCAATTGGAGAACTATTTGTTGCCACTAATAGAAGGAAGAAATACTATTAGTATACACCCAAGAACCAATTAACTTTTCATGGCCTTGTTTACATATGTCCTTCACTAGAAATGGCTCGTAAAACTATATTTAAATGTGTGTGTATGTATATCTATATAAATAAAGGCGAAATGTGTTTGTTTACACCCTAACTCCTCCGAGCCTGTTGGGCCAATTTCAAACAAAATTTGTATGTAAACACAATGAACTATAGGGAATATCCTAAGGGGGTCAAAATTGAACTTAATCCTATTTCTGTTTTGTAAAGCCTGTTGGTTAATTAATCCCAGCCTATGGAGTCAATCTTGACAGGTTGACGCTTTAGACAATGTTGAATATTCTAAAGGGATTCAAGGTCAAAGTATGAAAGTTGCTGGATTGTTTCTCAAATAACCATGCTATTTTCGTGATCAGTGAGATGTAGGGTGGGATTACCCCAAAATCTTTATTTGTTGGTAGATGAAAAGCAAACTGCAAATGTTGTTCATGAAGAAGCTTTGCTATAATTTTAAAATTTTGAGATAAAGTTTATGTTCAAGCTATTACTTTGAAATGTACGATTGCTGTTAAACTTGTATTGTTTTAATTAAGTTTAAACAATCCCCGTCAGCCGACGGGTATTTCAGCTTGTATATATACAATGCCCCAAAATTTGTGTTTTATAGGATATTATAACAATGAAAATATACTCCTAGTCGAACGTCATATGTATTTATTATTCCAAAGTTTCAAACTAATTTATAAAATCATTTTGCTACTGAAGGACCCGCATTTGAAGAACATTGTGATAGTAAATATATAACGCGAGTTAGTCTGGAACTATAAGTTCATTGAATGAATCCTTCGTTTAAAAAACGACCATCAAACTTACCAGAATAAATGTAATGCGCATATCTCGATACACTGAACACATTATACAGATATTATTTCTAATCGTTATGATTATACTAATTAGATAGAGAGGTTGCTTCCCCCCATTTGCTTTGTGTTTATTTTGGGAACAATACATATATATAGACTATGTGGTTTGCGCCGTTTGAATGGTTATTAAACACTGTAGGAAATAACTAGAGCAAATGTTCCTAAATTACAGATTTTTATACTTCAGGGGCCGAATATTAGTCCCCACCACTATTGAAACCTTAAATGACGCTTCTGGGCCATATATCAACGTTAACGGGACAATTCTATTAGTGTTTATTAAGATTCATTAGAGACGACCTTTTCGTGTGGAATTAATATGGCTTGAAAACCAGTAGGTGTAAGGTAGGCGTACTTAAAAAGAAAAAAAATACGCTTTCCATCTGAAAACAAACATGATACCGTTCCAATTTTTTCTACTGTATCTTGGCTCTTGGAGAAAAACGTTAGCATACAGAGAAACTTGAAACCTCGTATCGGTCTGATTGATATGTAATACTAACAAGAAATACAGCTAATGGGCTTGCATACTTACTATTTACGAAATTATCTTCTGATAAATCAATATTAAGTTGGAGCCAGGCAACATTTTATCTTCGGAGAACTAACAGCTTCATTGTTTCATTTTCTAAAATCATTGAAACAGACTTAGTGTAATGTCGAAAATACCACTCAGAATTTTCCCGCTTTTGTAACTACTTAAGAAATTTATCAATTTTATTACTTAACTTTATTAACTTATGTTAAACGTGTCAAGAAAACAGAAACATCGTGTAAAAGATGGGGATAGTATAGTACCCCAAGAGGAGTTGCAAAGTTACTCTTCACGTGTGTAGAATTTGGTAAGGATGCTGACAATGATACCACTCTAAGTTGGTACAGAAAGCTCCTTCGTGCATGCGTTACTTTTCATACCTCCTTAAGCTTAGCTTACTCAAAACTGCTAAAAGTTTGCTGTCACATAAAATTATATATATATATATATATTTTGAGAGAGAAAGAGAGAATTTGATAGTCCACCGTTTCATTTTTTTAGGTATGTGTTTTGTTTATAAACTCATACGATTTTTTGCTTTTGGAATTTACTCCTGTTTGCTTTAATAATGGTTGGAGACGGCTTGAATGGATAATGAAGAAAAACTTTAATATAAGTTTAACATAACAGCAAATGTACAACGTTTTTCTTCATTACCCATTCAAGCCGTCTCCAACCATTATTAGTCTCAAAGTGGGTTCCTCGTCATCGAATTTGAATTCATCCTGTTTGCTTTGTTGAGTCTTTGAAGTGGAACAGAAGGTCATGTATGTTTCTGGAAACAATTCACTGTTGTTTTTTAAGCGACTTTAATTGTTCTGTTTTCTTGAAAGTTATTTTTTGTCAGAGTTTGTTTAATTAGCTCTTATTTTGCTTATTTTACCAATAAAAAAAAAAGATGCGATGCTGTATCACAATACACCAGCAAATGACCGGAACTAAAAATAAACATTTAGCTCCCAAAATTGCCGCGGCAAGGACTGTGTGAGTCAGTACAATAGGACTGTTAGGGTGTTTTCTGGCCTTGGCGTCATTCATTTGTGGGGACGGGAATAGAAACGCTGATTAAACACGTGCATGACGTAATGGTTACGCTGTTTACTCGTGATTGTTTTAAAAGTATTCAGCCGTTTCAAATGCTTGCGAATGTTCCAGAGCAAAACTATTTTGATAACCCTTACAG